TTCTAATTCTTCTAAGTTTGATTAATGATTTTGACTTAGGTAAGTTCTAGTTATGTTTATAGACTTAAACTGATTAAAACCTCATGATTTAGGATTTAAACGACGTACCTTAGGGGTTAAACGAAATAGGAAAAGACCAAAAGACCCCTGAATTTAACTGCTGTCGGAGTGATCGACGGATTGGACTGACGGGCCGTCAATCAATCGACGGACCGTCGATTGGGTCCGTAGGTCGAGTCTGCCCGACAGGGCTTCACTAAAATGAGCATAACTTTTTACTCGGAGGTCGGAATTTAGCAAACTCGGTGGCGTTGGAAAGATAATTCAATTATATATCATACCATAGGTAATGGGACACACAATTCATTTTGTGCTAAAAGTTATGACCATCTGAAGTTGACCCAACAATAATTTTCAGCTAACTAGCTGCTGACCCTCATCTACGGTCAGACCTACGGACCGTGGATCGAATGACGGTCCATACTGGTTGACCGTAGTTGTTTCAGAGGCTGGGTAAGGAAAGTCTCGATCCACGGACCGTGGTCTGATCTACGAACCGTGGGTCTGTCCGTGAGTCGGGACTTAGCCAATTTTCTGAGCTGGCTTGTGGAGGGGTTGCATTGGTGAACCACGGACCACCAGCACGGGCTGTGGTCTGATCTACGGTCTGTGGATGGTGACCGTAAGTCGCACCTGCAACTTCTAAAATTCTGCATTTTTGGTCTGTTTAGAATACAGGGTGTTACACATATTTTCCAACTCCAATAGAGTTTGTTTTGATTCCCACCCTCATGTTACTTTAATTATACCTTTGTACTCTAGCCTTACACCATGAACACTGATTCTTCTCATTCTTTCTCCGTGATAGCATTCTCTGGATATAATTTTTATATTCCATTACATAAATTTTTTACCTTTGAGAAGCATTGGCTAATGGTCATATTCCGTTGAGAGATCGAAAAAAGATCATTTTTGAGCCTTTGTAATCTCGCATCGTTCGTCTTTGTTAAAATCGTTTCCAATGTTTTCTAAGCTTCTTGAGGTGTCTTGGCATTCTTAATCCGTTGTAGGAACTCATCCTCAATGGTTACAGTGAGAGCATACATTGCTTTTTCAGCTTTGACCTTTAACCTTTTTTGTTGCTTTAGCATCCGATAGTGGTGTGATGTCTGATTCAGTGATGATATCCCATAATTCCTGGTCGAGAAAGTAATATTACATGCTCGTGATCCATGATACGTAGTTTCTTTCATTGAAATTCTAAACGCTATTGAGAGTACTTGCAAAATCAGCCATTAAAACTGCTTCCTGACTTGTAGCCTCCGACTATAGCTTGTAAGATCGTCTTTGAGTTTCTACCTTGCTCTTCTCACATGTTCTTTCGAGACGGACACAATTGATTTTTCACAACTTGAATTTTATTATATAAAAGTAAGGAGTCACTTAGATCTTACAATTATTACACACAATATTTCATGCACTTACACTCTAGACCTATCTCTTATTTCTCACTCACTTGTTGTTTGCTCTATTGCTTACTTCCTTTCTTGCTTTCTTACTTGTTTGGTTACAACTCAAATGAACCACCTTTATTTATAGGTGTTTATGGAAGAATCTAGCTAAGGGTTTTGCTACTATATTCTAGAATGTTCTTCTAACTACCTAATTCTAGAACATTTCTAGACTTTTCTCTCTAGAATACTCATTCAAGAGATCTTCCTTTATTACTGTACAACTCTTGAATATTCTAGATTCTTCTTCGAAATGTCTTGAATATTAATTATGTTGGTAATAATTGATTGAGATAGGTCAAGAAAAATCTAGAATATTGCGGAGTTATAGAGAATTGAAGGAAGATCTCTAGAATGGTATTCGAAAAAAAACCTAGAAATATTCTACAAAAGGCAGTTCTAGAAAAACATAGCTAGGAATATTCTAAAAGATTGTAGTATATATCTCCTTATATTCTTCCATCACTTTCTGTAAATAAATGTGGTACATTTAATTTGTAACCAAGTAAGGAAACAAGTGAAAAGAAACCAAGAGAGCAAGCAACAAGTGAGTGAGATAAGAGACCGTTGCTAGAGTGTGAGTGCAAAAATATTGAGTAAACATTGTAAGACCGAAAAGGGTCCTTACTTTGATATAATAAAATTCAAATTGTGAGAAATTGATTGGGCCCATCTCCAACAATATATTCAACAGTATGTAGTCTTAGCCTATGGGGACATACTAAAGATGATGAAGTTGCTGCTAACCGTAAAGTCTGAGCCATCTCC